AGACCCCCAGCAGCTTTTGGTACGTTGGGGTTAGCATTTCTTCGGAGTTTCATCAATATTTCACTGTCCCTGAAGTGGCCCAACATTCCAGCTTCATATTTATCCATCAGCATCACCACCGTTTTCGCTCATTTGTCAGCGCAAAGGACCATTATGTTGCTTTTCTTTTCCTTGAGTTTTTTTCAGTTCCCCAATAGCTAAAGTATGACAGGTAGCCAGGTTAGGACGAGTTTTGTGGATGTTATTGCGGACACTACGGTCAACGATATCGAAAAAAAATGATATCTTCCTTACTACTTTTCAGACTTTCGCTGAAGTGAAGGAATCCATTCTATATACCAACCACAATGTTATGGATGGAAGTAGTAGGGCTGGCAATGCTGAATCGAGGGACCAAGCGCAAGTATTTCTTCTTCCTTGTCCGTGAATGCAATGTTGTTCAGATTGACTATTAGGCTGTCACGGAAATTCTAATCTGGCCAAATCCGACGACTGAATATTTCCATCGAACGTGTAATCAGACCTCGTAATTTTTTTCTGACACGTGTGAATGGCGTTAAATACTATCCAATAATCCCTAGGAATATTAATTTTGATTCATTGAAAGTCGGGTTCACTTACCTGTTCAGTTATAGCGTTCCACAGTCGACCAACATAAATTTCATGATGTTGCCTTGGTCGAAATAGTCCCACAGTTTCATTCGTCATAAGCCTCTTTGAATATTCGTGCATGATGGAATCACCACCACCGTATTGAAGCTTCTTCTTGATAACTAAACTAACCGGAATGACATTATTCTTGAGGCATGTCCTTAAAAAACTAATCGAATTTCGAATATGGACTAGATAAAGCTTTCCCTATTTCAGGTCTTTCAATACAGCAATAATTCGTGACCATATCGATCATATAAGAATTTCTTTAAGCTTTCGATTCCAACAGCTATTGCAACTGTAATTCTTTACTTACTTACACTAGCAACTGTGTCCAAGCTTTAAGCTAACAATAACTCAGCCATTGGTTGCAATTTTGTCACTGTCGTTCTATTCGCTCTCATTATTACCGCCATTTATGCCATAAATACTTTCACATCATTTGTTTTTTGTCCATGCTCAAAGGCAGAACTACCTTGCAATTATTTTCAAGCGGTACACTGTATATTTAAAATTACTCGTAATCCTATGTATCCCATTTCAAATTCACTTACTTCTTTCCTGTAGAGGAGAGTAATACGTAAAAGTCACTGCCAATATTGTCTAATCAGAAACAGCTCTATGCGAAATGATTGATAAACTTTACGTAATCATTGACGCCCGATTTGAATACCGGTGTTGCGGCTTCCTTCCGTCCAAGTGTGTTATTCCAGTGGTAAGTGGTCTATTTTCGTATGTATTTGCGGTTGTTCGATTACGCTTCTCATGTTTTCGGATGTGGTCTATTTCTAAGAAGTTGGTTTCCCATTGTTCAACACTTGTTCTGCTTTGTTTATCGTATGTCTTTTTCCGGTCTCCATCATTTTGTTTCTGCTTCAACTCCCGAGGTACCGGGTTCGATTCCACCAGTGTCCAATGTTGTCCGTAGGTTCTGGTTTTGTCTTCTTCCTCTCTCATTCTTCTCTACGTTCGGACCGTAAACTTCCTAAGTGCGCTGCAACTACACACTTCGCCGCACATCTGCCTTATTCTTGTTTCCTACGGCCGTCACCTTGTAACGTATGCTGTGTCCTTCACCGTAAGTGGTTGTTTGTTGCCCGTCCGTTGCGCTCTCTGCTTTTATTCTGTCTCCTTTCCATCATGTGTTATAATCTTTACTGTGTCGTGATCTTGATTATTCTCTCGCTTTTTGTCTGTTCTTTTTCCACACTTGCTGATTTTTTGCGGCCACTGCTGTCTTTCCACATCTTC